GGCTTGCAGACAGCTACCCCCTCTCTGTGTCCTCACATGGCAGAGAAACAGAGAGCAAGCTAGCAAGCACTAGCTCTCTGATGTCTCTTCTAGAAAGACATTAATCCTACGGGATCATGACTCTACCCTATGACTTTATTTAATTTTAATTTCAGGTCCTGTGTCCAAATACAGTCACCTTGGGGTTTGGAGCTTCAACATACGAGTGTAGAGGGACACAATTCAGGTCAAAGCAGAAAGATTAAGTGACTTTTACAAGGTCACAGTACTGTTGAACAGTAGAGCCAGGATTTGAGGAGTTAGGCACTGAAACCCCTGTAGCTTCCTATAGCTGTCTATGAGTCTCATGGGGGTCCGAGAGTTGGCCAAGCTTGTCTTCTAGACGAGCCTTTCTGCCGTTCTGTGTTCTGTACTTTTGGCATACCCTTCTCACCTGCTCCAGCACATCATCCCCACGTTCCAGCTCCTCAGGATTCATCTAATTTGTACTAAAGGTTGATTCATTCCAAGAGTATTTGCATATTTATGAACAAAATGATATATATAAGAATACCCCCCCAATAATGGGATGTTAGCTTTCTGAATACATAACAGACATATTTTAAAAGAGATTCTTTCCTCATCTCTCAGATTACTCCTTACAGAAGATTGTTGCACTTTGGCATATGGGTGCGTAATACAAACATTTTCTACTAGTTTAGAAATATGCTTTGATGCTTTGGAAGAATATTGTTTAATTCATTTTGTTAAATATCTACTTCCCTGCCCTTTTCTTTTTATTAACAAATATTTCTAGCCCTGCATCAGGCTCCCTGCTCAGCAGGGGAGTCTGCTTTTCCCTCTTCCTCTGTCTCTGCTCGCTCTCTTTCTCTCTCTCACTTTCTCTCTCAAATAAATAAATAAAATCTTTAAAAACAACAACAACAGCAAAACAAAAACCCAAACATTTCTCGAACACTTTCTACGCATAGAACATGAATGTAAATTTAAAGATACAAAATGGCCCTTGCTTTCAAGGTATAATTTAAGTATAATATGTTAAATGTCAAAAGAAATATCTGAGAAAAAAAGATGATATGACATTTCAGAGAATAAAGTTAGCTAAGAACTGCAATTTTTAGAAGTTTTATTTTATTTTATTTTACGAACAATGAGGCATTTCTGAAATCTTTTGAGTAGGTAGATAGCTTGATCTGATTCACTTTTAGAATCTCCTTAATAAAATAAAGGGGAGGATGAAGAGGAAGAGAGTTCAGAATAGTGTAATTGTCCTGAGGTAAGTTCTATAGAAAAAAGAAGTTGTAAATAGTAGAACACCTTTGTGAATCAAGGGTTTGAGGCTTGAAGTCATATTTGTATGAAAAGATTAGTGTTTCCCCACATTTTCTCACAAAGGATACGTGTGATTGGGGATGTTATTCAAAATATTTAATAACCAGTATGACATGAGACTTTAACAATCAGAACAGGGAACTGGCCAATCAAAATAGACCAGGTCCTAAATATATAATTAACAGATGTGACCATACTGTTACGACCTGGCTGAATGTCAGATCTGCCTTTGTCTCTGGTGGTACAGCCAGGGATCTCATGATTTGAAAGATTCTACTCCTTAAACAGATTTCATAAATTAAGTAAAAAAATTTATTTTCCAGTTTCTTAATTTAATAAAAGACTTCTGCAATTTATATTAGTTTAATATCAATATAACAGACAAAACTGATACAACTTTAGCATTGGTCTGTAACACCTGGTTGTCGGTTGGCTTATGTGGCCTTATAGCAGGCAAATGTGTAATTTCCACTTGGCATTTTGAAAAATTAAAATAATTACCTAACTCATAAAATTCCTAGGGGACAGGTGGACTGTTGTCCTCAATTAATAGTGTTGATTTAAATCATGTACCTCACAGCCTAGGGATGTTTTAAAATGTCTCACACACACACACACACACACACTATGTAAATATTTTCATAATTGACATATTATTTAGTTGCCAAAGTCTCTACCACTCTCTTTTGTTTTACGCATTTATGTTATATTATTTTACCCACCTGGCCCCTGATTTAAATATTTTTATGTTTTTATTTTTATTT